TGCTGAGCATTTTGTCCTTTTCCTGTAAATCAATGGCCCTTTTTTACCAAAAACAACCTCAACTTCATTCTCATCTGAAGGGCAAATGGTTTTTTATTATTAATTGACAATGTACAAAACCATTCGTAGTGGTTGGATATGAAATAGTTCATTGTAGAGAAACTTACTCATTTATCTTTACAATGGCAGTGATGGGAACCAGGGATTGTGGTGTCTACAACACAAATATAGCCATTTTATTTACTATCCAAAATGACCAGTGAACCTACACGTGTCACTCAGTTAGATTTATTTTGAACATCATTAGCTTTGGGACTGAACTGCTGCTTTAACACAGCTGAAGCGCTGCAGGAGAGGAGGGGCGTGTATGAGTGTTTGTATGAGGAGTTCTCTCAGTTCAGCGCTGCTGGGACTGACAGGCAGGATGATCTGCTCCCAGCAGGAGACTGAGACTGGATGAGCTCCAGCTTACCTCACTAAAGCTGTCCTCTCCTTCACTCATCCCTCTCTCCTCTCCTTCACTCATCCCTCTCTCCTCCTCCTCCTCTCTCTGCTCCCCTGCTCTCCTGTCGTCATTCATTCCTCTCTTCTCTCCTACTCCCACACACGCAACCGTCTGTCCACCCTAACATGATTCATAATAACCCTCTTCTCTCCTCCTCTATTCTCTTCTCTCCTCCTTTGTTCTCCTCTCTTTCTCTGTTCTTCTCTTTTATTTTGTTCTCTTCTCTCTTCTCTTTTGCTATCCTCTCTTCTCTTCTCTTCTCCTTTGTTCTCTTCTCTTCTCTTTTGCTCTCTTATCTTCTTCTATTTTCTCTTTTCTTCTCTTCTTCTGCTCTTTTTTCTTCTCTTCTGCTTTTCTCTGCTGTCTTCTCTTCTTTCCCTTTCTTTCTTTTCTTCTTTTTTACTTTTTTGTCCCTTTTTCTCACTACTCTTCTTCTGAGCTTTTCATTTTCCTCTCTTTGTCACCTTCTTCTCTTCTATACTCTTCTCTCCTTCTGAACTCATCTTACCTTTTTGTCTATCTCCTTTCTCCTCTTTTCTTTTATGTTTTATTTCTCTCCTCCGTCCTCTGCTTTTCCCTTCTTTTCTCTCCTGAGCTCTTCTGTTTCCTTCTTTTTTCTTTTGTCACGTCTATTCTATTCTCTATTCTTCATCTCTTCTCTTCAGCTTTTCTCTTTGAGCTCTTTTCTCTCATCTCTTCTCTCTTCTTCTTTTCTCTTCTCTCCTCCTGAGCTGTTTTCTCTTTTATCACTTTTCTCTTCACTTCTTTTCTAACCCTTTCTATCCCTCTGAGCTCTTCGTTTTCCTCTCTTCCTTTGAATTCTATTTGTCTCTTCCCTCCTGCTCTTCTGTTCTTCTGAGCTCTTCTTTTTTGTCTCTTCTGTTCTCTCCTCTCCTCTCTATTGCTCTTTTAACTTCTCCCTTCCTCTTTTCTATGCAATTTTCCTATTCTCTCGTCTTCATGCCACTTCATCTCCCTCTTCTCTTCTCCTCTTCTCTTCTCTCTTTTCATATAAACTCCGAGCAGTTTAACAAAAACACCCCTTTCACCCTACAATAACCCCCCCCCCACACACACAGTATCAGGGTACACCACGCTAGCCTGCTTTGCTCTCCATCCAAACCACTGAATTATTAAAAAGCTGCTGACTCTCAGCTCTACAGCCTGAAACGCTAGCAAAACTTTGTGTGCACGCAGTTAAAGCTGGAGGACAAGAGTCAATAAGTAATCAGGCGTGTACACTGTGTGTGTCAACACACACCTCATCACACACACACATGCCACGTTTGCTACCCGTGCAGATGCATTTGTGTTCATCTGAATGCAGACTGAAGCCACTTGAACTCTCGGTTACGTAACCTCTTTTCTCACGTATCGTCTACATGGCGACTCTGCCTGAGTTTCACCTGTGTTGGTAGGCCCGTATCCTAGCAACAGCAGGAACAACCCCTGCGGCCTAAAATAGAAAGAATCCTGTTCACTTCATCACAGGCTCTGGTTTGTTTTCAAATTTTTTCTCATCAAATTCTTTGGGTAAACTGGAAAGCCGGGTTTTCAATGAGCCGTGGCTGTTGAAATGATGCACTCTGAACATGCGCCCCTCCTCCGAGCTGTTTATACAAATTCCAGCCCTTTGAACGGCATGTACGGTTGGTTGTATGCAAAAGTCTGAACATCCCCCAGTCAAATGGAATGTTTTGTGAGCTTCTACGTGAAAATAAGTGAACACATCCTCTACAGAGAACACTATAATGCACATTTTAATACACGGTTAATGTCTAATAGAAATTGTGCACTGAAGGCCAAAAACATCATATTCAAGCTTGTTCCCTGCAGTGGATGTGTACTTATTTTCACATAGACAAACAACAAAACATGTAAAACTTTAGCATATGACTTTCCATCGATCTTCTTGTATCTACATTTTTTGTCCATTTTATCAGCTCCACTTACTATATAGGTGCACTTTGTAGTTCTACAGTTACAGACTGTAGTCCATCTGTTTGTCTGCATACTTTGTTAGCCCCCTTTCATCCTGTTCTTCAATGGTCAGGACCCCCACAGGACCCTCACAGTGCAGGTACTATTTGGGTGGTGGATCATTCTCAGCACTGCAGTAACACTGATGTGGTGGTGCTGTGTTAGTGTGTGTTGCGCTGGTCTGAGTGGATCAGACACAGCAGTGCTGCTGGAGTTTTTAAACACCTCAGTGTCACTGCTGGACTGAGATTAGTCCATCAACCAAAAATATCCAGCCAACAGCGTCCTGTGGGCAGCGTCCTGTGACCACTGATGAAGGACTAGAAGATGACCAACACAAACTGTGCAGCAATAGATGAGCTATCGTCTCTGACTTTACATCTACAAGGTGGACCGACAAGGTAGGAGTGTCTAATAGAGTGGACAGTGAGTGGACACAGTGTTTAAAAACTCCTGCAGTACTGCTGTGTCTGATCCACTCATACAAGCACAACACACACTAACACACCACCATCAAGTCAGTGTCACTGCAGTGCTGAGAATGATCCACCGCCCAATTAATACCTGATCTGTGGTGGTCCTGACCTTTAAGGAACAGGGTGAAAGTGGGCTAACAAAGTATGCAGAGCAACAGATGGTCTGTAATTGTAGAACTACAAAGGTAAGTGGAGCTGATAAAATGGACGATGAGTGTAGAAACAAGGAGGAGGTTTTGATCTCATGGCTGATCGCTGTACATGCACAGAACATCCCGGTTATTTGAAATCTGATAACGACTTTGATCTGACATGTTGAGTGCTGTTTACATGACCACTTGAACAATCAGGTACCTGCAGAATTCAGATAAAAAACAGATAATGATTATATTATTAGTCTGCTTGCAGACAGACGGACTGTAAGAGACTTTTATCAACAATTTTATTAACTTTTGTCCCATATAAGATGCCAGTAAGTGTACATCGCTTCAAACAAATGGAGTATTGAGGACACATTTTTTTGGGTAATTCAGATCTGACTACACATATGTTGTGTTGGTAAACTGACCTAATTGTAGAACATCACTGCTTAGTCTTGTGGTTGCCAGCTCACTGCATAAAGTCCAGAAAATGAACCGCCAAACTGAGTTAAGAGCACTGAAATGGAATTCCAAAATGAACACAGGTCTTCCTGGTCCAGAGGTTGAGTTTGAGTTCCCCTGCATGGCCCTCTTCCTTCTTTCCTCCGGACTTGCTTGTTTGGCTGGGAGTTAATTTCATGTATGTATGCCAGCAACGTTATCAAAGCTGCTTATCTACTGACTATGTACAGCCAACTAGGACCTGGTCCAGCTAGGGCTGCAGCCTAGTGGAGTCTTCTCAGTTTCAGTATGAAATATAATGTGATCTCATTACAAAAGTGAGGCAGTTGAACCAAGCGGTGATTTCTTCGTGTCTTTTTGACCTCTAAAACACTATGATCCAGTTAACACTATGAATTATTGAGTAACTGCTATGATACTCATAAGCAAGAGTTGCACAAAAAAATGTTTGTTAATCAGTTCAAAATCACAGACTTCTTACATACTAAGGCTTATTATTCAGTAACTACATGGACAACTATGTAACAATGTAAACTAGCTGAGTTATTCTTAAGTTATTGATTTTGAACCTGCTGGTGGGTCCTGGCCATTTATTGTGATACTGATGTTTGAGAAGGGCACAATACGCAGCTGAGCCTTCTAACCAATGTCAATCAATGTCTAACTGGGAGTTGCACAACTATTCATTTTTACAAGTTGAGAAGTCGTTCAAAAAAGTAGTCAACTATTCATCAATATCACATTCAAAACATGAGTGTTTCAGATGTCTGTGAAAAATAGCTGGTGATTTGCTAATAGAGGCTGGGGTGGCGGATGCTATGGTTTGAGGTGTGATTTATGCGCTGTGGAAGGGAGTTTTTCATTGTATTTCAGTAAGTTTCAGGCTCAGGCACTCCGCCCCCAGAAGTGCACAGAATGTCTGGTGTAAACTGCATGCTAAAATTGCCACAGCTCTCACAATCTCATCTCTGATAGAGAATTTAAACTACCTCTGGCCCATGCACTGTCTGATGGGAAACAAGCAACTGTTTATCTTGCTAAATGCTAGTAGCAAGCAGTTGCATCTCTACCCACCAATAAGCCCTTCACAGCAAAAGATAGGCCTTGAAGTTACAGTACAGTACAGCTACTCATGTAATCCAAGAAATGTAAACGATTTTGGACAAAACAAAGCAGCCTGAGCTTTGTAAATGTCAAGGCCTATCATAACTGCAATATGTAGCATTGCTAGCATTTTGCTAATAAAGGAATGGTTTGTTGAAAAATCAGATGTACTCAATTCTCCATTTATTGCGGATGTAGTCGATCAGCTGAGGCATCTCTGGAGTGTAAAATTTGCTTCTTTAGTTTAGAACTGTAGAAGCTAACATTGCTAACAAACAGGAGAACTCAATAGTCACCCAAATAGCCCAATTTCTTTCTTTTCTTTCAACTTTTTCTTTAAATATACATTCCCAGGCTCCCGAGTGGTGCAACTGTCTAAGCATTGGCCTCACAATCTACTGAGAATGGTAGTGTGATTGGGGGGGGGGTCCTAACTAGTGAGGGGAATTGAAGATTCGGAATTTAGGAGAAAATTGGGACCCACCCCTAAAAAAAACTTTCCCAAATTTTCTTTCAGTCCACTCAAACCACATTCAGGCCTTCATTAAAGTCGCGTAGACTCAATGTGGTTTGGGCCCTCCATATTACTTACTCTGAGCTATAAAATGAACAAAACTGTGGTCAGTCCCTTCAACGGGGTATGTATTTATAAACCAGTTTATAAAATTATAAATCACCATTTATAAATCAGTCCTGCTTTATGAAAACCAGCCCTGGTGTTGTCTAAAATGGCTAAATTCCTCTAGCTAACAGTAAATGAGGTTTTGCTCTAAACCACATTGGCTAGTCTTACATGACCTTAATGAAGGCCTGGATGCTGTTTGAGAGAAGATTTCAAAATGGACAATTTGGGCTATTTGGGTGACTATTGAATTGTAGGGTTTGTTAGTCGTGTTATCCTCCTAGCTCTAGTTATTAACTAAAGAAGTAATGTTTGGACTCCAAGCATGTCTTGGCTGATCAACCAATCTAGGAAACTAGGGTACTGTTACTTTAACGTCTACCTGAAAGTGCTCTGTAGTGCCCTGTATCTAAATTAGCCGATGAGATTGAACATGTATAGTCATGCTAGGCTGGGTAAGGCTAATGGCCACAGAAGGGATTGCCGATCCATTGTATAAAGCTTTAATGGCCCTGTAACATGCAACTCCTTCATGAGTGAAGCCCTTACTTGCAGAACGTCCTAATCTCTGGCTCTGTGCGTGGCTTTTGTATAAGTATAGAGCTGACAGCAGTGTGTAGCTGTACATTGAGGAGGGGATTTAGGAGAACAAGACTAATGTTTTGAACCATAACAGAAGAAATGCTCCAGCATGATGTCAGTCTTTCGCTGAGTCATTCGGAGCAGCATTTGGCCCCTGTAGTCACAACTAAGAGAAAAAGAAGAGAGGCAGAAGGCTGAGGCTAGGTTAGGAGGGTGGAGGTAGGTCTGTATTTGACTTCCCTTGCCTTTAACCCTGTGCTGTGAAATGTCACCTTATTAACACAAAGGGCTCGCCGCCTATTCAAACTCTCCTTGGCAAAGTGGCGGGCCAGCCAAGAGTGAATGTGGCTGTTACCGTGGCAACCCATGACAACTGGGAAGTCCTTGCCAGGCGGAGCAAAATGGGAGGGGTTTGAGAGAAGATCGAGAAAAAGTTACTCTATCAGGGGAGTGAATAGAGGTTAAGTAGTCGGAGAGAGTGAGAGTGAGAGACAGAGAGAGATAGAGCAGAGAGAGAGAGGGAGAGAGAGCAGCCAGACAGTGAGATCAGAGAGAGGGAGAAAAACAGAAGGCTTAAGCAGGTTGGACTTACAGGCAGCTCTGAGGCAGACAGCACCCTGGAGTTTCTCCTAAGGACTCTGTGCATGGCAGTGCCATTACACACACCAGAGAGTTTTTATATATACTGGTGAGTTCACTTTTCTCTATGATAGAGCTACATACACTTAGCACTTTATAACTTGTCTTCCAGTTTCACTGTGATTGGGTTGTTTCATATCAGTACAGTAGTCTAACCTACTTCTAATGTACCAGTTTGACTTTCTGTGGAAGATCAGTATGTCAGTCTTAGAAGAAAAAGAGGCTGAAATTTGAAGTTTCAGAAGAGTTGTTCTGCTTTTCATGGCAAATGTCCTGTGACGTGGTTTAGTCATATGGTTTACTGCAGTGATTTGCGTATTGAGAGAGCTTTGATTTGCTGAAAAGGGGCACTAGCATCTCAGATGTGTGCTGAAGCATTGAACTCCACTGATTTTTCAGAATGTCTGCATAATTATTTATTCAAGATGTAAACAGTCATTCGGAGTGATTAGAAGTAAAGTGCTCAGTTCTGGAGAAACTTACTGAGTCAGAATCGTTCACAGTGGTGGTGATAGGAACCAGATGTCCACCTCTTAAAACACCCCCACCAAAACTTTAGTTTAGTTTTTCTAAAATGTGTGTGTGTGTGTGTATATATATATATATATAGTCACTAAAATGGCTATATTTGTCATAAACATTGAGACCCCTGTTTCCTATCACCACAACTGTAAAGACATTTGAGTCAGTAAGTTTCTCTACAATGAATCTCTGAAGTAGATTGATGTGTCTTTGCTTACATCTCAACCACTGAATTATGCAGAAATGAAAAAAATTAAAAAATTGAAAATAAGGGTACCAGAAGGGTTCTTTGGAGCGATGCCATAGAACGAGGTTGCCCAAGAGTGGCCTGTTACACTCTCAGAAAAAAGGTACGAAACTGTGACTGGGGCAGTTCCCCTCTTGTCACTAGGGTGGTACTCTAGTTGTCAATTATGTTCCCTTTTACCAGGGAACATAATTGTAATCCGTTGAAATTATACTTTCTAAGTTGTATTGACTCCACACACCCCGTCTTGTCTCCAGGCTTTTTTTTTTACTCTTCTGTTTTAAAACATTCGGTTATGAAAAGGTGCAAATATGTGCTTTTCACCTGGAAAAACGTATTTAAGGTTCACAAATGGACCTTAAAACCACTGTTGTACCTTTGAGGGAACATATTTCTAACATTGTAGCGTGTTTGATTTGACCCACCAAGAACAAACATATTTATATTGTATACATAACTTATTACATTCCTAATTCATTTTATTTTAATTAGTTTTAATTTGTTTTCAAGAATTTTAGCAAAGTAAATATGTTGTGAAATATAATTAAAGTTATAAAATACATTTTTAGAAAAACACAGTTTTGTCTTTTTTGGCCTTTGGCCCACCATAAACATCATGATCTCCCCCGCAACCCTCAGACCAAGACACAAAAAGTTTGGGCACCCTGCCACAGAGAAAATCTTTGGTGTCTTAAAGGGTCTATATCATGGAAAATTCATATTTTCTTTGCTTTTTTGGAATAAAAGAAATTGACGTTGTATGTAAACATTGTTACATTTTCAAAACATACTCTTCACTCTGCAGTCTGTATACAGAACTTAAGCTGCAGCCTGTTTTGAAAAAAACAAACACATTTACGTATATCCACCTATTCAGCCTCCAGCAGTTTAGCCCCAACCATAAATGCAGAAGTTTTTAGGATTGCTTCAGTCTGGAAAGTTACAGTAACGGTACTGTAACAAAACCAGCCTGTATAATCCTAAGGGATGAAGAGAAGTTTGAAAAAGGTCTGCTTTACATACATAAAACCACACAAACGTCATACGTGGACCTGGAAAGAAATACAAGAAAAATGTAAGGTATGTGCCCTTTAAAGCAGCTTTCAATGGATGGTTCTTTAAAGAACCATTTTTGTACTTCCATATAATGGAAAGATTCTTTATCAGTTAAAGATTTCCCTTAGAATTGTGGATCCAAGCCAAGAACCATTCAAGAACCATCATTTTTATGAGAGATAAGGTGAACCTGATTGTTTTATACAGTGATAACACAGTCATATCAAGTTCTTATGAAGTTCATGTGATCAAATGATTATAAAAACTTTATTGTTTGGTAGCTTTGTCAACTTTTAGCTTTGTTTTCTTTGAAAAAATCTTCAAAGATTTTTTTCCCACTGGGTTGGGTGGCCTTCTTTGGCCCTCACTGACTGTACAATGCCTGTGCGTGAAGATTTTTCCCAGAATTATTTTGCACAGTAGGAGGAGTTTCTCCATTTATAAACCCTAAACGAGGGTTTCTGCATTCAGAGGTCAGAGTTTAATCTCATTGCATATTTCCTGCCTTTTTAAATGTCTGTCTTGCCTCCGGCCGGTAGGTAAATGTCACCAGTGGACGCAAGTGTCAAGTCCATTAGCATGTACAAGGGAGACGATGGAATTAGAAGGGGGTGTGTATGTGTGTGTATGTGACCACAGGGCCTCATCTCAGACCTCAAACTCGGCACTATAAGACAGATTTCAGCAGCACATGCTGATCTCTCTGAGAATCTGTATGACCTGGCTTTCTCACGCAGGATATATGTGTGTGTGTGCATGTGTGTGTGTGTGTGTGTGTGTGTGTGCTCGAGTACATGTTACTCTCATAAAGTCAGCTAAGGTGTGGCAGTATGTAATGAGTACATGTGTATGGTTCTTCGGAAGAGTGCATAAGAGTGGCATAGCCAGATTTTCATTTTAGAGGAGGGCTGGTTACAGGTTAAACACGCTATCTAGCAAAGACTGTGTCCCCTGTTGCTATAGTGAGGATGATGATAATCAACTAGCCTTCTTCACTGTAGCTAAGCCAATAGAAAATTGCCCACCATTACCATAATCAGAGGGAAACATTTTGAATATTAAACACAACACACGATTGCTGACCTCACATTCAACTGGCTAATGTTAGTATCCATAACAACTGACATTATACCACAGCTAAAGCTGAAGTTGGCCTCTTATTCGCCAGCTTCTCATTCAAATTTTCAATTCCACCTTAAGATGCACGGCAGTTAAATGATGCCCAATTTAAGGTGGAATGGGAAATTCAAATAAGAAGACAGTGAAGCCAACTTTATCCTCGTATTTCCTTCCTTGACAGGTAGATAAATATTAAATACCGACAAAGAATGAAATCAAACAGTGCTTTAAAGTTATAACAGGACTGTAAAACGTTACGGTTTTGTTTGTATTCCTGAATAAGGATGCATATTATGTATAGTATATTAATATTATGCTGTGCCACTCAAAGACACAAGTACCTAAACATGAGCTAAGCTAACTACTGTAGCTGATGCTAGGCCCAAAAACAGTAAACTATCTCTGACAAATAACATGTTCTCATGTCATCCACTGAGGAGAAAATGAAGAGTCCTCATTAGCATCCTGTTAGCTACAAGCTAGTTGTAGTTTTAGCTCACATCTGATGAGGCAGCTTCTGTTACTCATACAACACAACAACTTAGTGTGCTGCTAAAATTTTGTGCTACTGATATTTTAGCCTCTTAAGATCAGTGCAATCGCCTAAAAAAGTAAACCTCCAGCCTTGCGTTTTGGATTCTAGTTGAAGTACTTTTTTCCCTTTGCCAAGGTTGCTTGAATATCCATTCATTAACTCTGATACTCAAATAGCAAAATTAGTCGGGATGCACAACTATACCTCGTAACATTAAACTATGGTGGGTAAAGACTAATCAACCAAAAGCTTTGCAGCAGATGTGTGAAAGAATAGTTGAAGATTGTGACATTCATATCTCATATCTCATTGTTCATCAGAGTCAACTACTACTCCTTGTTAGCTGAGTAACTAACCCAAAGGAGCTAGCACAGCTCCGCTAAATTCCACCTCAGGAGAAATGGTGGATCAAGCTAATGCTATGTTTAAGGATCTAAGAAGAGGTGGAAAAAAGGCACAAGCATTTGGGGTATGTGTACTTCATTCAGGACCATGAATCCAGTTGTTAACTGAACTATTGATGTAACTATTGATTGGCCACCTAGCATCATACCTACCAGTTATTACAAAGTCCAGTAAACTGTGTAAAAGGGCTTGAGTTGAACTCTGTTCTCTTGTACTGTATAACAAACCTCTGAACTGTATCATTTAATGTACAAACCAAAGCCTCTCTTTCTCAATAGACTAAAAAGTAAAAAAGCCCTCATGTAAAAGGCACCAATTTGACACTGGGTGTCTGTACTGGGCCAATTTTAGCAAAAAAAAAATTGGATTGAATATTGGAGGGAGAAAAAAGAATAACTCAGTTTCAATCCTGTAACAAATCTGTCCTGAAACAGGACATACTCGCATTGTATGATGTGATGTTGTATGTGTATTTCATTCTGTATAGTAGTCTGAGAAGTTTGAGCATGATAGCCTACTTTTAGATGCTTATCTTAAGTGAAGAGTTTTTAAAGAGGAAACATCAAGGTTATTGCTACTCAAGGTTTTAATATCAGTATGTGTCTAAAGAAGACGTTTGAGTGCCCAGATGGTTAAACTGGTTTAAGCAGATGTTTATTGGCAGGTCTGGTTCCACCAAACAACTGCGCTAAAAATGTCCACAGATCACAGTTGTAAGGCCTACTGTAAGGCCTCCAAAGCACAACCAATGCTTTGCATCAATATTGCTGATATATGATATGCCTCCCATTGGGAAACCACTGAAAACCAAACTGACCATTAAAAATGTTCTCATGTTCTCTGAGAAAACCAAAGGAAATGTTCAACCCACATTGGCAACCATTCAAGATGACATCAGAACTGTTTATCTTGAGTAATTACCCACTATAAATTGTTCGAAACATGTATAACAGCATTCCAAGGAGTCCTAAAACTGCTCTGAGGAAAGGCAGCCCAACTCTTGGTTACTGATTGCCTAGTGCTTTCCTGTGCATTTGTGCATGTGCTTCTCATACAACAGAGATGTGAAGCTTTTTTTCTAATACCTCCTCTAGAATTACTCTAAAAATATCAGTGAGGAATCTAAATCGTTACCCCCATTGTTACCCCAAATGTAATAAATCAG